TCACGTTGTTAGGCCGATTTCAATATTCACTGTGATTTGAACCAGTCAGGTTTTAAATTGGGAGAAGGCGACTATGATAAAATTTAAAATTGGTAAAAAGTTAGGTTAACCATTTGACAGATGTCAGATTTTATTTATTTATTTTTGAAAATCATTTAATTTTCTACTTATTGAACCCATATTTTGCCGAATAAGGACTGGACATCCTTTACTGGTTCAGTCAGAAATGCATCTCAGCAGGCAGCGAATTTATTCATAGACGTACTTACTGCTTTAAATGAATGGATCCGTGACGTTTGCGAAACGATTTCCGCCGATTTTCCATATAAATTTTCCGCAGGCCGTACACAGTGCGTGGACGTGCCATATTGAAATTTACGGGGCGGGAATTTTTATAACTTCGGACCGATTAAACCCTTTTGGCAGGACGAGAACTGAATGGGCTTTGTTGCTCGACAATAATGCAAGGATAAATGATTTATGGAGCTGTTCAATTTTTTGCAAGTTGTATGTATGTTTTTTATTTTAACTAATTTAATATAGGATATATAGGATATTTTTAAATAATTTTATTGTTTTGGTAGTTTTAATACATTTTAATATATTTAGACATTTTAAAATGCTCAAACAATTTAAGACATTTAAGATCATTCTTAGATAGTTTTAAGCATTTTGGATCATTCTTAGACAGTTAAAAAAATATTAATGGTTTGATAGTTTTAAGACATTTAAAAAAAAATTTTTAGATCATTGTTAGGCAGTTTTAGAATATATTTTGACATTTTAAAAAGATTATAGAAAATTTAGGACATTTTCGATCATTGTTAGGCAGTATTGGGATATTTTTAGACAATTTATTGTTTAGATAATTTTAAGATTGTTTTAAAATAAATTTAGATATTTTAAAAAGATCAAATAATTATTTATATTTATTATTTTACATGAATAAATGATTTATGAAGCTCTTCAATTTTTTTCAAGTAGTGGGTATGTTTTTTTACTTATTTTAACTAATTTACTCTAGATATAGGATATGTTAAGACAATTTTATTGTTTAGACTGTTTTAGAATATATTTTGACATTTTAAAAAGATTATAGAATTTGGGGCATTTAAGATCATTCTTAGATAGTTCTCGGGCATTTTGGATCATTCTTGGACAGACAGAAATTTTTAATGGTTTAATAGCTTTAGGACAGTTTTAGAATATAGATATTTAGACATTTTAAAAAGATTATAGACAGTTTAGGAAATTTTGGATCATTGTTAGGCAGTATTGGGATATTTTTAGACAATTTCATTGTTTTGATAGTTGTAAGACTGTTTTAGAATATATGTTGACATTTTAAAAAGATTATAGACAATTTAGGGCATTTAAGATCATTTTTAGATAGTTTTCTGTCATTTTGGATTATTCTCGGACAGTTACAAAATTTTAATGGTTTGATAGCTTTAAGACAGTTTTAGAATATAGATATTTAGACATTTTAAAAAGATTATAGACAGTTTAGGACATTTTGGATTATTGTTAGGCAGTATTGGGATATTTTTAGACAATTTTATTGTTTTGATAGTTTTAAGACTGTTTTAGAATATATTATAACATTTTAAAAAGATTTAAAAAAAATTAGGAGATTTAAGATCATTCTTAGATAGTTTTCGAGCATTTTGGATCATTATTGGACAGTAAGACAATTTTAATGGTTTGATAGTTTTAAGACAGTTTTAGAATATAGATATTTAGACATTTTAAAAAGATTATAATTATAGACAGTTTGATACATTTTGGATCATTGTTCGGCAGTTTTAGGATATTTTTAGACAATTTCATTGTTTTGATAGTTTTAAGACTGTTTTAGAATATATTTTGACATTTTAAAATGATCAAAGACAATTTAGGACATTTAAGATCATTCTTAGATAGTTTTCTGTCATTTTGGATTATTCTTGGACAGTTAGAAAATTTTAATGGTTTGATAGCTTTAAGACAGTTTTAGAATATAGATATTTAGACATTTTAAAAAGATTATAATTATAGACAGTTTGATACATTTTGGATCATTGTTCGGCAGTTTTAGGATATTTTTAGACAATTTCATTGTTTTGATAGTTTTAAGACTGTTTTAGAATATATTTTGACATTTTAAAAAGATTATAGAAAATTTAGGAGATTTAAGATCATTCTTGGAGAGTTAGAAAATTTAAAGGTTTGATAGTTTTAAGACAGTTTTAGAATATAGACATTTATACATTTTAAAAAGATTATACACAATTTAAGATATTTTAGATCATTGTTAGGCAGTTTTAGAATATATTTAGACATTTTAAAAAGATCCAATAATACAAGGATAAATGATTTATGGAGCTGTTCAATTTTTTGCAAGTATTTTTTTACTAATTTAGTCTAGATATAAAAAGATACTTTTATGTTCCTTTTTATTTTGCTTTCAACCCATACATTTTAATTACACTTTTTCCTAAGTAGAAATTTATTGCTGACAGTTATGTTGCTACAAATATTTTTCATATTTTCCGGTAGACAGCTCAATGGGTTCTTCTTGAGGTTAATTTTTCCTATTTTAAGGCCATGTGAGTCATCGCTGTTTAATTTTGTGATAAAATTCTTTTGCAAATCTAAAATACCTAAAAACTATTTGATTAAATTATAACCTATTTATAAACAAGCAGTGACTGACCTATGTGCTTGATGTTCCTAAACACGGTAAAATTGAAGTTGGCGAAGTTATTTCTAGCGAAAAACAATTTCTTTATTTCCGTAAGACCTTCAAACGCTTCGTTATTTACATAGGCAATAGTATTTTTGCTGAAGTACAAGGTAAGATTCTCCCCCTTGATATTGCTGAACGCCTGTTTTGGAAGACTCTTCAAATAGTTTCGTTTAAAGTAAATGGTTTTCAAAGAGGGTGAGCTTTTAAACCAACCTCCATCGTAGGTTGCGAGTTCGTTGCTGTTCAGTTTGATTAATTCCAGGTGTGGCAGATTATCAAATGCATTGCTGTGTATTACAGTAATCTTATTGCGGTGTAACTATAATTTCTTTATACTCAAATAATTAAATATTCCATCTCCAATTTCTTTTATTTTATTCGAGGCCAAGTTTATGGTGTTCAACGTTGGTAAATTCAAAAAACACCCTGGTGAAATTGTGCTGATATTTTTCTTCTGCGCACTAATCACCGATAAATTCGGCAAACCGTTAAACGACCCAGGGAACAATTCGGGGATCCACCCCTTGATAAAATAGATGTAGGTTACATTCTCAGGAAAACTCTTCAAGCTCACATCTCCAAGACTTTTGATTGAAACTTTCAAAGCACTGTTGGACGTTTTGATCACACCCTCCTGTATTAATATTTTTTCTGATCGCGCCGAAAAAATCAACACGGTAAGTACGCACAGTGACTTTACAAATGACATGTTTTTAACGCGATATTTTTAGCCAAATACATACCACAACACAAATAAAGGTCATAGTTTAAGGCAGATAGGATATCAGCTTTAATTTAATTGATTTAAATTTTAGGATATTTTTAAATTATTTTATTTTTTTGGTAGTTTTAATACTGTTTTAGAATATATTAAGACATTTAAAAAAGCTCAAACAATTTAAGACATTTAAGATCATTCTTAGATAGTTTTCGTGTTTTTTGGATCATTCTTGGACAGTTAAAATTTTTTAATGGTTTGATAGTTTTAAGACAGTTTTAGAATATAGGTATTTAGACATTTTAAAAAGATTTTGAACAGTTTAGGACATTTTAGATCATTGTTAGACAGTTTTAGGACATTTTTAGACAATTTTATTGTTTTGATAGTTTTAAGACTGTTATAGAATATATTTTGACATTTTAAAAAGATTATAGACAATTTAGGACATTTAAGATCATTCTTAGATAGTTTTCGAGCATTTTGGATCATTATTGGACAGTAAGACAATTTTAATGGTTTGATAGTTTTAAGTCAGTTTTAGATTATAGGTATTTAGACATTTTAAAAAGATTATAGACAGTTTAGGATATTTCGATTATTGTTAGGCAGTATTGGGATATTTTTAGACAATTTATTGTTTAGATAGTTTTAAGATTGTTTTAAAATAAATTTAGATATTTTAAAAGATCAAATAATTATTTATATTTATATATTTATTATAATAAATATATAATAAATGATTTATGAAGCTGTTCAATTTTTTTCAAGTAGTGGGTATGTTTTTTGACTTATTTTAACTAATTTACTCTAGATATAGGATATTTTTAGACAATTTTAATGGTTTAATAGTTGTAGACAATTTTAATGGTTTAAAAGTTTTAGAATATAGGTATTTAGACATTTTAAAAAGATTATAGACAGTTTGACACATTTTAGATCATTGTTAGGCAGTTTTAGTATATTTTTAGACAATTGTATTGTTTAGACTGTTTTAGAATATATTTTGACATTTTAAAAAGATTATAGACAATTTGGGGCACTTAAGATCATTCTTAGATAGTTCTCGGGCATTTTGGATCATTCTTGGACAGTCAGAAAATTTTAATGGTTTGATAGCTTTAAGACAGTTAGATATAGGACATTTTGGATCATTGTTAGGCAGTATTGGGATATTTTTAGACAATTTCATTGTTTTGATAGTTTTAAAACTGTTTTAGAATATATTTTGACATTTTAAAAAGATTATAGAAAATTTAGGAGATTTAAGATCATTCTTAGATAGTTTTCGGGCATTTTGGATCATTATTGGACAGTAAGACAATTTTAATGGTTTGATAGTTTTAATACAGTTTTAGAATATAGATATTTAAACATTTTAAAAAGATTATAGACAGTTTAAGACATTTTAGACTTTACAAATGACATGTTTTAACGCGATATTTTTAGCCAAATACATACCACAACACAAATAAAGGTCATAGTTTAAGGCAGATAGGATATCAGCTTTAATTTAATTGATTTAAATTTACAAAATTATTCATTTTTAATTACCAGTGCAGTACGTCGGCTCATCGGACATGTCTCCGCAATCGTCCTGTCCATCGCAGTAGCCATTTAACCTGACGCAGCGGCCATTCCTGCAGGGAAACTCGCTGATTCTGCACGCAGGACCAGGACTTACTTCCTGCAGGACCCCTAGCAGAAGCATCATGGGGTAGAGCCACAACCACATCCTAGAACAAAAATTAAACGTCAAATTTTATTGTACTACAATATTCTTAGACAGTTGGCAGATGTTATAGTTCTAAGACAGTTTTAGAATATATTTAGACATTTTAAAAAGTTCATAGACAATTTAGGACATTTAAGATCATTCTTAGATAGTTTTAGGGCATTTTGAATCATTATTTAACAGTGAGACAATTTTAATAGTTTGATAGTTTTAAGACAGTTTTATAATATGATATTTAGACATTTTAAAAAGATATAGACAGTTTAGGACATTTTGGATCATTGTTGGTCAGTTTTAGGATATTTTTTGACAATTTTATTGTTTTGATAGTTTTAAGACTGTTTTAGAATATATTTAGATAATTTAAAAAGATCAAAGACAATTTAGGACATTTAAAATCATTCTTAGATAGTTTTCGTGCATTTTGGATCATTCCTGGACAGTTAAAAAATTTTAATGGTTTGATATTTTTAAGACAGTTTTGAGAATATAGATAATTAGGCATTTTAAAAAGATTATACACAGTTTAGGACATTTTAGATCATTGTTAGACAATTTTATTGTTTTGATAGTTTTAAGACTATTTTAGAATAAATTTTGACATTTTAAAAAGATTATAGACAATTTATGACATTTTAGATCATTGTTAGATAGTTTTCGGGCATTTTGGATCATTCTTGGAGAGTTAGAAAATTTTAATGGTTTGATAGTTTCAAGACAGTTTTAGAATATAGATATTTAGACATTTTTAAAAGAACATACACAGTTTAAGACATCATTGTTAGGCAATTTTAGGATATTTTTAGACAATTTTATTGTTTTGATAGTTTTAAGACTATTTAAAAATATATTTTAACATTTTAAAAAGATTATAGACAATTTAGGACATTTAGGATCATTTTTAGATAGACAATTTTAATGGTTTGATAGTTTTAAGACTGTTTTAGAATAAATTTTAACATTTTAAAAAGATTATAGACAATTTAGGACATTTTAGATCATTGTTGGGCAGTTTTAGGATATTTTTAGACAATTTTATTGTTTTAATGGTTTTCTGACTGTTTTAGAATATATTTAGACATTTTAAAACGATCAAATACAATTTAGGATATTTAAGATCATTCTTAGATATTTTCGTGCATTTTGGATCATTCTTGGACAGTTAGAAAATTTTAATGGTTTGATATTTTTAAGACAATTTTGAGAATGAATTTTGGCATTTTAAAAAGATTATAGACAATTTAGGACATTTGAGATAATTTTTAGGCAGTTTTAGGATATTTTTACACAATTTTATGGTTTTCATAGTTTTAAGACTGTTTTAGAATATATTTAGACAATTTAAAAAAATCAAAGACAATTTAGGACATTTAATATCATTCTTAGATAGTTTTCGTGCATTTTGGATCATTCTTGGACAGTTAGAAAATTTTAATGGTTTGATATTTTTAAGACCGTTTTGAGAATATAGATATTTAGACATTTTAAAAAGATTATAGACAGTTTAGGACATTTCAGATCATTGTTAGGCGGTTTTAGGATATTGTTAAACAACTTTACTGTATTCATAGTTTTCAGACTGTTTTAGAATATATTTTGACATTTTAAAAACATTATAGACAATTTAGGACATTTAACATCATTTTTAGGCAGTTTTAGGATATTTTTACACAATTTTATTCTTTTCATAGTTTTAAGACTTTTAGAATATATTTAGACAATTTAAAAAGATCAAAGACAATTTAGGACATTTAAGATCATTCTTAGATAGTTTTCGTGCATTTTGGATCATTCTTGGACAATTTTAATGGTTTGATAGTTTTAAGACAGGTTTGAGAATATAGATATTTAGACATTTTAAAATGATTTTACACAGTTTAGGACATTTTGGATCATTGTTAGGCAGTTTTAGGATATTTTTAGACAATTTTAATGGTTTGATAGTTTTAAGACAGTTTTAGAGTATACTCTCTAAAAATGAATTAATTAAAAATGACTAATCGTCAATAGCAATTTGTATACCAAACATTTAGCAGTCAATTTCCATGTAAAATTGTCCCATAAATCCGAAATCCCAAAAATTATAAAAGAACAGTTTTTGAGATTTATAAAATTTTCCAAATAATATGGAATTGACTATATTTCAAAAACTGCTCTACTTTCATAATTTTTGCCGGTATTTTCGGATTCAGGGGACAATGCCACATAAGAATTGGCTATTAAATTTTGGGGATACCATGGATTAAGTTAAAAAGTGGCCACTAAAACTGTAGTAACTAGTCATTTTTGACTAATTAATTTTTAGAGAGTAGGTATTTGAACATTTTAAAAAGATTGTGGACAGTTTAGGCCATTTTAGGCAGCTTTAGGACATTTTTAAACAATTTGAGTGTTTTGGTTGTTTTAAGACTGTTTCAGAATATAATTTGGTATTTTAAAAAGATTATAGACAATTTAGGACATAAGATCATTTGTGGACTGTTTTAGGACATCTAAGATCATTCCTATACAGTTTTGGAATATTTGGTAATAGTTCTAAGACGGTTTTAGAATATATATAGACTTTTGCATAAATCATAGACAATTTAGGACTTTTTGATCATTCCCAGACAATTTTAGGATATTTAAGATAATTCTTAGATAGTTTAAGAATATATGTATATATACAATTTTAATGGGTTAATAGTTCTAGTACAGTGTTAGAATATATTTAGACATTTTGAATAGATCATAGGATATTTTAGATCATTCTAAGGCAGAGGATATTTTAGAACATTCTTAGTCAATTTTATTATATTTTTAGACACTTTTAATGTGTAAATAGTTCTAAGACACTTTTGGAATATATTTAAACATTTTAAATAGATTATAGACAATTTGAGACATTTTAGACAGTTTTAGAATATTTTTAGACCCCTTAAATGTTTTAATAGCTCTTATACTTACAGTGTTAGGATATTTTTAGACATTTTAAATAAATCATAGAGAATTTAAGATATTTAAGATCATTCTAAAAACAAAGGAATGATATTTTAGATCATTCTTAGACAGTTTTAGGATATTTTTAGACACTTCTATTGGGTTAATAGTTCTAAAATTGTTTTAGAATATATTTAGACATTTTGAATAGATCATAGACAATTTAGGATATTTTATATAATTCTTAGACAGTTTTAGGATATTTTTAGACAGTTTTAATGTTTTGACAGTTCTAATGCAGTTTTAGAAAATCATAGAGAATTTAGGATATTTAAGATCATTCTAAAAACAAAGGAATGATATTTTAGATCATTCTTAGACAGTTTTAGGATATTTTTAGACACTTTTATTGGGTTAATAGTTCTAAAATAGTTTTAGAATATATTTAGACATTTTAAATAGATCATAGACAATTTAGGATTGTTTATATCATTCTTAGACAGTTTTAATGTTTTGACAGTTCTAATGCAGTTTTAGAATAAATTTGGACATTTTGAAAAGATTTTAGACAATTTAGGACAATTTAGATCATTTTTTTAATTAAATATTTTTAACCATCTACAATTTTATATTTATTTTTAGTTTAAATTTAGATCTGCTTTTTAAAAAGTATTCACTTTGAAATCAATTCACACACACACAATATTGTTTATTTTATAAAGCTAAAGCTTTTTTTCTGGTTTTACAGCAGCTCAGGACTCCTTTCAATTTAGGTAAAACTTTCTTTTTATTTGATATTTAATAGGAAACGTAGAGGTCTTTGGGTTCCTTTTTTATGAATAATTCTGCCGTAACCTGAAAGTTTAAATAAATTGAATAGCCGAAAATACAATGCTAAAAGGATAAAGGGTCACTTTTGAATAGGTTAGATAATGTAAAAGTTTTGGGGGACCTTAGGATATTAAATGTTTAGCGAAGTTTCCGATTGTTATCATTTTTTAAACGTATTTCTGTATATTGATGCTCTTTTTTCTACAATTGTCTTTAAATTTGAGAAACTTTGATATTTCCTAATTAAAATCTCGTTTCGATGCCTATTATAAAAAGCTCGTTTACTTTTTTATTTATGGCATCAATTTCTGAGCAAAATTAAAATACAGCCAACCGTTATGCCCCAAGGGATATTAAAAAAGTGGAATTGCCATAAAAAGTAATATTTATTTTCAATATCAAATTATGATTCGTTTATGGAACGTGTTTTGATTTAATTACTTTTTAGTATGGACTAGCGATCGTCTCATCAATAATTTGTCAATTTGACAAGGACTTTATCCGGGTTGAGTAATGCTCAAAACAAGAAAATTTCATGTAGTGAATCTAAGACAAGAGTAATTTTCCGGAACACGGCACGTTCTCCCTTTAATTCCGTTCTGGACGTTTTGAAAAATTGTAATTGCTTTATCTTGCCAAAATGAATTGGTCACTGGAGACGGTACGTGCCGGCGTTATGAATTAACTGCAAATATGGATCATTTTTATTTACATATAAATTGTCTACTATGTCTAAGATTTGTTGCTGGAAGTGGCCCCGATTGTTTATGGGCATTCCAAGAAGAAAACAAATCTAGCCAACTAATAATGTCAACGCAATGTCATCTCATACTGTAGTTTCTTGAACCCTAGTAATATTTTATTAAACCCTTGTTTATTTCGAAAAGCAGCCTGCATTATTTACGAGAGACTGTGGGTTATCAAAAATTTACGAGTAATCCTTAATAAAAACGTTGTGATACCTTCATGCATTATGCAATGTCTACTTTTGAAAGACTTCTGTCAATATTGGGATAAACTTTTAGAAAATATTTTTCAAATATAAATACACGAAAAATGCCTATAAAATATTTTTTTTTAATAAATCATAGACAATTTAGGACATTTTAGATCATTCGCAGGGAATATTATGATTTAAAATTTAAAATATGTTTAGACATTTTAAAAAGATCATAGGCATTTTCAGAATACATTTAGATATTTAGAACAGATCAGACAGTACATAGGACATAGTTTTAGTTTATTTTTTGT